GCCCTTCCTGATGGGTTCTCCGTCCATCTGTGACACGGGAACCCTCGTGGCTTTCCTGACTCAATGACAACACAGGCTGTAGCTGTGGAAGAGAGGGTAGCTTTATGCTTGTTGGTCCTCAGTTGTGTAGAAGGTTGTGTGGGACTTTGCCCACTCTGAACTTCATGGTTACCCATCCTCAGCTGTGTAGAACATTGCGGGGGACGTCATCCACTCCGCAGTGTATGGTTGTCCATCATGGCTTGTTGTCCATGGAGTGCTTAGGGGAGATTCTAGAGCAGCGGTTCTCAACCTGTGGGTTGTGACCCCTTTGGGGGTCGAACGACCCTTTCACAGGGGTCGCCTAAGAACATCGGAAAACACATATATAATTACAAATTGTTTTTGTGATTAATCACTATGCTTTAATTATGTTCAGTTTGTAACAATTAAATTGGGGGTCACCACAACTTGAGGAACTGTATTAAAGGGTTGCGGCATTAGGAAGGTTGAGAACCACTGTTCTAGAGGATGTTGACGCATGTGTGATGGTTCTTGAGTGAGTCCCCAAGATGTCTGAAACATTGTGATCTGTGATCCCGACTTGATATTGCTGGGCTTGGAAAAGCAGGGTCTAATGACCCAGCACTTCCAGCGTCATGTTGTTGGAAGGGAAGCAGGGCCAGTTGCTCATCAGAAACCAGTGGACCACGATGACAGGCAGGCGAGAGCTTTGCTCACTGGGTGGGCCCTTCCAGCCTCCTCATTCTCCTGACGTCCCCAATAGGGTCAGATAGCAGGGCCAACATGGGAACCGGGCCCTTGGATGGCTCAGGACACGCTGCATGGTTTCCACACTCACACCCACTTCAGGGGCTCCGCCAGGTTCAGGTGCGACCGTGGGCAGTAGGGGAAGCCCACTTATGAAGTTTCTTCCCCTTTTAGCTTTTCAAACAGATGTTATTTTCCTGTGGTCTGTGTCACCTTGAGGAACCAGAAGATTATAGTTGCTTTGCTTATTGCCTCCCTCCTCTTCTCCATCATTATTGCCCTCAGACCTCCCTCCTCTTCTCCATCATTATGTCCCCTGGACCTCCCTCCTCTTCTCCATCATTATTTCCCCTGGACCTCCCTGCTCTTCTCCATCATTATTTCCCTCAGACCTCCCTCCTCTTCTCCATTATTATTTCCCTCAGACCTCCCTCCTCTTCTCCATTATTATTTCCCTCAGACCTCCCTCCTCTTCTCCATCATTATTTCCCTCAGACCTCCCTCCTCTTCTCCATTATTATTTCCCTCAGACCTCCCTCCTCTTCTCCATTATTATTTCCCTCAGACCTCCCTCCTCTTCTCCATCATTATTTCCCTCAGACCTCCCTCCTCTTCTCCATCATTATTTCCCCTGGACCTCCCTGCTCTTCTCCATCATTATTTCCCTCAGACCTCCCTCCTCTTCTCCATCATTATTTCCCCTGGACCTCCCTCCTCTTCTCCATCATTATTCCCCTCAGACCTCCCTCCTCTTCTCCATCATTATTTCCCTCAGACCTCCCTCCTCTTCTCCATCATTATTTCCCTCAGACCTCCCTCCTCTTCTCCATCATTATGTCCCTCAGACCTCCCTCCTCTTCTCCATCATTATTTCCCCTGGACCTCCCTCCTCTTCTCCATCATTATTCCCCTCAGACCTCCCTCCTCTTCTCCATCATTATTTCCCCTGGACCTCCCTCCTCTTCTCCATCATTATTTCCCTCAGACCTCCCTCCTCTTCTCCATCATTATTTCCCCTGGACCTCCCTCCTCTTCTCCATCATTATTTCCCTCAGACCTCCCTCCTCTTCTCCATCATTATTTCCCTCAGACCTCCCTCCTCTTCTCCATCATTATGTCCCCTCAGACCTCCCTTCTCTTCTCCATCATTATGTCCCCTCAGACCTCCCTCCTCTTCTCCATCATTATTTCCCTCAGACCTGCCTCCTCTTCTCCATTATTATTTCCCTCAGACCTCCCTCCTCTTCTCCATTATTATTTCCCTCAGACCTCCCTCCTCTTCTCCATCATTATTTCCCTCAGACCTCCCTCCTCTTCTCCATTATTATTTCCCTCAGACCTCCCTCCTCTTCTCCATTATTATTTCCCTCAGACCTCCCTCCTCTTCTCCATCATTATTTCCCTCAGACCTCCCTCCTCTTCTCCATCATTATTTCCCCTGGACCTCCCTGCTCTTCTCCATCATTATTTCCCTCAGACCTCCCTCCTCTTCTCCATCATTATTTCCCCTGGACCTCCCTCCTCTTCTCCATCATTATGTCCCCTCAGACCTCCCTCCTCTTCTCCATCATTATGTCCCCTCAGACCTCCCTCCTCTTCTCCATCATTATGTCCCCTCAGACCTCCCTCCTCTTCTCCATCATTATGTCCCCTCAGACCTCCTTCCTCTTCTCCATCATTATTGCCCTCAGACCTCCCTCCTCTTCTCCATCATTATTTCCCTCAGACCTCCCTCCTCTTCTCCATCATTATTTCCCTCAGACCTCCCTCCTCTTCTCCATCATTATTGCCCTCAGACCTCCCTCCTCTTCTCCATCATTATGTCCCCTCAGACCTCCCTCCTCTTCTCCATCATTATTTCCCTCAGACCTCCCTCCTCTTCTCCATCATTATTTCCCTCAGACCTCCCTCCTCTTCTCCATCATTATTTCCCTCAGACCTCCCTCCTCTTCTCCATCATTATGTCCCCTCAGACCTCCCTACTCTTCTCCATCATTATTTCCCTCAGACCTCCCTCCTCTTCTCCATCATTATTGCCCTCAGACCTCCCTCCTCTTCTCCATTATTATTTCCCCTGGACCTCCCTCCTCTTCTCCATCATTATTTCCCTCAGACCTCCCTCCTCTTCTCCATCATTATGTCCCCTCAGACCTTTTCAACCACAGAATCACCAATCTTACTAGATCACATTTGTGGTCTGGGACTTTTGTTATCCCTGGTCATGGGGTGGGAAATAAAACCCTTCTCTTGCTGTAGGGTAACTGAAGGGGCCATCACTTCTTCACTTGGGATCCTTTGCTCTGCCTGGTAGGTCATGGCTGGTCAGCACCCTGGATTAAGTCACCCTCTGCCATCCATTTCCACCTTCCCTGTGCTCCTGCTGCCCGGCGGGAGGACTGCTGACCTAGGAGCCCAGACCTTGCCATGTTGGCCCCAAACCTGTTGCTGCCCCCATGGCCTCAGGTCTGTTTTAGGAATAAATGAGATGATGACACTGAAAGCAACTTGTGGACAGTCCGGTGCTGCAGAAATAGGCGTGGTGCCGCAGTGTCGTGTTGTAGTAACTTGTCTCTGTCACCTCACCAGGGACTAGCTTTCTGCCCACAAGACCAGTGTCTTTCTAGGTATGTTCCACACACTCTCTTGGTGTGAGACACCCTCCCTGCAGTAAGCCTTCTGCTTACCCTGACACACCCTGTAGAAACTCAACATTGGTGATTTTTTCTTTGTCAAAATGTCCTTTGATGTAGCAATGTCCTGCCAAATAACAAATGGACACATGTCCTAAAGAAGAAAGAGCGTAACAAGTGAAATGGGAAAGAATGGGACATCACCTGTGCGTCCCGGGCCCCTGTGTGCTTCAGCAAGCATCTCAGCCCAGAGGTCACTGCGGGCAGATGCCTGGGAGGATGAGGAGAAAGCTGCCTGGGCCTGACAGACATGGCAGGGCTGCCCTCCCTTCTCCACGGTGCCCAGGACTGTGGCGGAAAAGCCACCTGCAGCTAAGAGCCGCCTCGTGCACGCTCTCAGCAAGTGTTGTCCTGATATCTGCTCTGAGCTCTGGGCGTCGCTATTGCCCAGCGGCAGCTGTGACGAGCCCTAGGAGAGGGTGAGTCCCTCCCAGTTTGTCCCAGTCACTGGTTCGCCATTTTCAGGGGAGTTGTGGCATGTCACGTCCCTGTCTCAGGCTGGGCCCCGCTGTGTCCTTTGCGGGCAGCCAGCTGGAGCCCCTCGCCCAGGCCGCAGGTGGGCTCGGGCAGAGGGTGGACCCTATGGCCTTGGGTCCCGGCCAGGCCATACCTTTGGGAAGAGCCAGGGTTTGAAGTTTGCGGTTGGGGTTCCTGCCAGTGAGTTCTGTTATCAGGTCCCATGACACAATTCCTGGTTCCCCCAACTGTGTTTTATTATTGTTATTCTTTAAAATAGTTGGGGGGGGGGGGGTGGATGTTGAAAGGGAATTTAGGGAAGGGAGTGGGGGAGATGAAATGTGCACCAACTAATTGCTCAGGAAGCCACCCTCGGATAGGCCGGGGCCTTTGCAGAAACACATGGAGTTTATCTGGGCAACAGAGGGAAACCTGGCAGTTCCGTGACGTGAGCACAAGCTCCCCACCTCCCAGTTCTGTCAGGAAAGTGACCGTGGTGACACCTCCCTGGTGACATTTCCCCTATCTGGGTGCCCATCGGTGGTGGAGGGAGGGGTGTTGTGCAGCTCACTCTCGATGGCCTTTGCTCATTTCCTCTCTGGCTGCCAAAAATCACAGGCTGATAGTGGCCGTGGACAAGGAACCAGAGATGAAGGACGAGACCCCACAGAGGGGGCTCCTGCTGCCGGTGCTGGCCCCTCTCCGACTTGACGATGAGGCCGAGGGGTGGTCAACGAGCGTGGACTTCCAGAGGTGCTTCCATGTGGGTGCCAATTGTTGGTTTTGCGAACCCACGGACACCTCGGTGGTGCTTTCCTGCCGGAAGAAGATGCACTCAGGACCTGGGGAGCCCCTGGTGCACCGCGAGCAGGAACTGCACCGCCACCAGCGCCTGAGTCACGGCAGCCAGGTCCTGGGCAGCCGCACTGCGGGCTCAGCACATCTTGCGGACGTGGCAAGAGTCAGGAGGGGAGCCAGTTCCTTTCTCACAGGCTGCACTTAACATCCTGAAAGCGTGGCTGATGGAATTGCTGGTTATTTACATACGGTTCCACGCAGAGTGGTGGTCTCCTAATGCGTTCTCTTATTTCTGTTTTCTTGCAGTAAATGAAATAATACGAAACGACCTCTCCAGCACCAGCACCCATTCGTAGTTGGCAACATCGGGACTCACTCAGGAGCCACATGGTGTCGATGGGTGACAGTGGAGGTTCAGCATCCAGACTTCTGACTAAATAAACTGAGCACAACTGGTACCACTCAGAACTTCCGACTTACTGAAGATGTGTTATACGTACAAAGAAGTAGCTCTTTAACAGGAAGGAGGGAAGGAGGGAGGGAGAGAGGGAAGGAAAGAAGGAAGGAAGGAAGGAAGGAAGGAAGGAAGGAAGGAAGGAAGGAAGGAAGGAAGGAAGGAAGGAAGGAAGGAAACTCCATCTGCTGAAGGAAAAGTCATCTCAAGAAGAAAATAAAGGGTGGGCTGGAGTGAGCGTAGGAGACAGACTGTGTGACGGCACCCCCATGGGAGTGACCCCTGTGGCAGCCTGACCCCAGTGCACCCTCGGGCACCCCTGGATTTCAGTACTGGAAGTGCCTTATTTAATCCAACCACAGCATCAGGGCATCTTAGACGTAAGCATTAAACTTGCCACCAGGAGAGTATTTATTGGAGCAAAGCTATAAAAACATTTCATCAAGAGGCTTGATCAAACTTTGCAAAAAGCAGGCGAACACTGGCAAGCGAGGCATTTGTGAGGAAAACTGAGCGTTCGTTCCCTACTTTATTTCAGCTTTTCCTGGGCGGCTGTGCTATATGATTTTGTTGCCTTATTCAGTGCATTTTAGGGATCTTCCAGTGTTTCATCTCAGCTCTTTCATAATACCCTTCCCTCCCCTGTGTTCCTAAAACCATAGGCTTGTCCATTGTAGTATGCTAGGATTTCGTTTTTAATCTGGCTTCGAAATTAGCACAAGTAGGTTGAATAGCAGAAGATAGGTTACTGGACAAGAAAAGAAATCTGTCACAGGACAGGTCTTGCATTTGCATGTATGTACATATATAGGCACATATTTATGTATAAATAAGAAATAGGTGGTCTGCGGTCTTGGCCCAGCAAGGGCTTCTGCGCCAGCAATAACCAGCATCAAACCTGGCTCTTCAGCTACTCCCACTGGGCCCGTCACCCCCGACAGGCCTACGTTTTTCTCGTCTCGTGCAGATAACCGAGCACTTTAGGAGCCGGGGGAGGTGCGCTCAGAACACCCTGTGTTACCACATGGTGAAATTGGAAAGTGACTGTAAATAACATTATGAAGGGAGTGTAATATATTTGTTCGGCTATAAGATTATTATTTCACAGAAGCCTTATAACTCTGCTTCATGTAAGAAAATAATTACCAAAAACGTTTTAATACGCGGCGATTGTAGTAGGTTTCAGACTAGTTACTGTTAACAGATAGGGTAGTGTAAGCTTTACTGCTGCATTTTGTACCGTTAACAGCTTCTTACACATTACTCCTAGCCACAATTTATTGTTTCACGTAACCAAAAAAAAAAAAAAAAAAAGCATGGTTTAATTAAAACATGTTTAACCTGATACTTGTGCCTTAGGAAGTTATGCCCCCTCCTGGAACCTGCCTGAACTGCAGCCGCGAGTGCAGGCTGTAGGTCCTCATTGAACCTAACGCGACGGTGGAGACTCTCCCACCGAAAAAGTTATTTTTAAAACGTTCTTCTGTATGAGTATGTCTTACTTTTTTAACTCAACGAACATGTGAAAGCCACATTGGTCACATGTGCACATATCGGTGAAGAATTGAAGATGTGTGGCTACGTGTGCGTACACACGGTCCTGCTCCCCGCAGGCGCCCCTCCTGCCTGTGACCCCAGAACCCGCCTCGCGTGTGGCATCGTAGACTTGCATGAAACACTTCTGATGGATGTCATGTGGAAAGGGAATGTTTGATGTTTGCGTCCGCTATCTCTGTAGTTAGGAAATAGACCCAATAAAGCAACACTTTCTCGCTGGACACTCCGGGCTGAGGGTGAGTCATTCCCGAGTGGAAAGTCTGCCTCGTCGGGAAGCATGTTCGCTGCTGCAGGGACTTGTACCTGTGAGAAGGGCTTTGTGTCGTGGAGATGCGCTGATACGATCTGATCGTTGCGCCTGGAGGTGCGTCTTGCCGACAGAGCTCCTCTCTCTTCCTTCTGTGTTTCAAGGGAGCCCTGTGGACGTGGGCGGACGTGGAGCCAGCTGCTGCGAGCACGGCATCCAGGCTGTGTGGGGGAGGGAGCGTTCGCTCCTGCCAAATATCTGTGCTCAGAGAAAAAACCTGGGTGAGGCCGTGGCCACACACATACCCGCGTGCCATTTGACCATTGTTCCAGCAAGACGGTGTGTGTGTAAACTCAACCCCTTCCACTCGCTCCTGGAGCTACCCCTCTCCCCACCCAAATCTCCCCGTCAGCTCTGGTGGGAAGCCAGGCTCTGTCATTCATAAGTCAAGTGTGAAACCTAGAGCTTCCAGTAGTTATTGTTTTAAATGGTCAGAAACAATATTTGCTTCTAGGACATGTCTAACGCAAGCATGCCTGTCTCCTTTGCTAAGAGGGTTACAGATGGAGACCAGCCCTGGGGGACCCTCATCCCCAAACGCAGCACCCATCCCACCAGGTTTCCACGCTGTGCTTGAAGGAAGCCACACAACCCACAGGGAGCTCATGGGAGTAAAGGGGACCCAGAGGAGGGTCTGGTGGCCACAGGGAGAGAAAGAGGACCCGGCTCTTCCGGAACAGGAAGTGCCCTTGAGACCAAGCAGTGTCCCAAGTCGGGGCCTGGCACAGACTTCGAATGCTGGGCCCATAGGGCATCCAAGAGCCCCCCGCACAGAGGGAATTGGGGCCCCCACACGTCTCCTGAGAGCAGGCTGTCTGGGTCAGAGAATGAGGCTTGTCACTGAAGAAGACACTGGAATCTATTAGTTCCAAAGTGAGTTTTTATAAACTGGTTTCCCCCGTATTGCCAACAAAACAATTTTATATTCCAGAAATAAAAATATAAATCTATGAAATGATGGTGGTTTCTCCTAGGTTGGTTTTGAGTAATAAGCAGATACATCTAGGGCAGCCGTGGGCAAACTACGGCCCGCGGGCTGGATCCGGCCTGTTTGAAATGAATAAAACTAAAAAAAAAAAAAAAGACCGTACCCTTTTATGTAATGATGTTTACTTTGAATTTATATTAGTTCACACAAACACTCCATCCATGCTTTTGTTCTGGCTCTCCGGTCCAGTTTAAGAACCCACTGTGGCCCTCGAGTCAAAAAGTTTGCCCACCCCTGGCCTAGATTCTAGGCACTCATTTCCAGCTGCAAGCTGATAGGTTTTGCCCTCATACTTGTAGACCAAACCAAGACTGCGTTTTTCTGGGAAGCTGTGACAGATGTCAGCTTAGCCACAGCTGGCCCACCGTCTGAAGCGTTGGGTCACTTGCCTCTCGTGGTCCTCGGTGATGGAGACCATGCGGGAACCTGAACACAGGCACCTCCCCCAGAGCCTGGAGCTATGTGCCCAGGAAGCTGGTGATGCTCACCCCACTTCACCCTCACACCCCTTGGCCCCGTAACTCCATCTCTTCCCGAGTCTGAGACTATGGGGCATGAAAAACATCCTGACAAATATCAAATTTCTCTTGTCACCAAATGCAGCCTAAGCAAACATCTGGGCGTTTCAGCACCCTCTCCGTCTCAAGGGTGTCTCCTCATCTGAGCAGTCGAAGTCCCCAGCTGGTTAGACAACTTTCCACAGCGCCCACCCCTACTTCAGGGAGGGACCCTCTCAAAACCAGCTGCTTCTGCTAATCCTGTGACATTGCCTTCTGTGTCCCAACCAGCGAAGTCACAAGGAGAGTGTCTGTGCAACTCTAATTAAATATTTCTCTAGAAATGTGTTCCGTTTGGTGTGTTTGGAGAGAAGACAGCAGGAAGAAAGACAGGAGAGGCTGAAGCTGAGATGGGGGGCCTCTGTGTGGGAGGGGTCCTTGCTCAGTGGTGGTTGTTGTTTTAATTAAGGTAAAGTCCTGGCTGGTGTTCTCAGTGGCTAGAGCAGCCGTGGGCAAACTACGGCCCTCGGGCCGGATCTGGCCCATTTGAAATGAATAAAACTAAAAAAAAAAAAAAGACCGTACCCTTTTATGTAATGATGTTTACTTTGAATTTATATTAGTTCACACAAACTCTCCATCCATGCTTTTGTTCCGGCCCTCCGGTCCAGTTTAAGAACCCATTGTGGCCCTCAAGTCAAAAAGTTTGCCCACCCCTGGGCTAGAGCGTCAGCCTGTGCACCAAAGGGTCATGGTTCGATTTCTGGTCAAGGGCGCTGACCCAGGTGGCAGGTTCCATCTCCAGCACCAGTCGGGGCACATCTTGGAGGCAACCAATTGATGTGTCTCTCTCACGTTGATGTTCCTCTCTGTCCCTCCCCCACCCCCTCCCACTCTCTCTGAAAATCAATGGGAAAAATATCCTCAGGTGAGGATTAACAACAACAAAAATTAAGGTAAAATTCACATAAAATGAAATTAACCATTTAAAAGTGGAATTTAGTGTATTCACAATGTTGTATAACCACCAACTCTACCTAGTTCCAAAATATTTCCATCCCCCAGAAGGAACCCCTGTACCTCTCACTCCTCAGGGCCCTGGGAACCACTGTTAACTGTGTTTCTGTGGATTTGCGCATTCGGGGTGCTTTGTATCCGTGGAATCATACAACGTGCAGCCTTTGCAACCGGCTCCTTTCACTGATCCTCGTGGTTTCAAAGTTCATCCCCATCATAGCATTTATCAGAGCTTCATGCCTTCTTGTGGCTGAATGCCCTTCCACTGTATGTTAACCCACAGTTTGTCTATTCATCGTCCAGGGACATTGGGGGGGTGTCCCCTATTGGCTGGTGTGAGCAGTGCTGCTGCAAGCATTCGTTACAAATCTTTATTCGAGTCCCTGTGTGCAATTCTTTGGGTACATCCCGGGGCGGGGGTTGCTGGGGAATACGGTAATTGTGTGTGTTACTTTTTGAAGAACTGTTTTTCCTTGCTCGGTGCTTAAATTATGCATCCCTAAGACAGACACTGGATCACTAACCTAATTTGGAATCACATATGTGAAGCGCATCATATTTATAATTCTTTATGCCAAAATAATTAACTTAACTATCAGATGACTAAATGCTCCTTTGCACCCAAGCGGAAAGCAGCCCTCGCTCACGCCTGCTCTGCTCCTGCTGGGCCCCGCCTGCCCTGGGCTCTGCCAGGACGTGGGGCCTCGGCTCACAACGTCTGACTCATTCAGCTGGTGCCAACGGAGCCCAAGTTACATAGTTTTATTTTATTTGCACAGACAAATTAAAATAGCGGAGCAAAGAGCCTCGGCAAAGACCGTCCCTGCTGTGAGAAGTGGGCGCAGCGAGACGTTAGGTGAGGGAGCCACCACGGCAGGGCTCGCACTGCCTTCGCTCAGGGTGCAGCTCGGCCCCGACATTTCTGCACAGAAAGCCGAAAAGCCGCGCTGTGTGATCTTCGGACAGTGGTCGTTTCCCACTTGACCGTTCTGTCTGTGACCAGATGTCTCAGCTTCCACACAGCCCGGACGCGGCTGCAGCTTCCTGTATAGAGTGGAACCGTCTGAGCACTGCTGGCCCCTGTAGCCACTCCTCTTCTTTCCAAAAAAGGAGGAGAAAAAGTACTGAGACTCTATTTGGGGTGAAAGTGTAAGTCGCATCTGGAAAGAGGGGACTGGGCGATCTGGTGGTGGGGAGTTATTGGGAAAGAGGGGACTGGGCGTCCTCCATCACGTTGAGGTTTCTGCTGCGTCCTGGCCTGACCTGGGCGGGGGACTGTCCCCATGGCTTGTTCCCCTGCTGCTCTTCCCTCCGGTGTCCGCCACTGTCCACAGTTGTCTCCAGATTTGGTCCTGAGGGCCTGCTGCTCATACACTTCTGTCTTCTGCTCCCGCCGCCATCCGTTCCTATTAAACACCTGCCTCCCCTGCCTGTTCCTGCTTTAAGGAGTGAATCGTCTTGTGAGAGGTTTAAATGATGCACATTATAAATAGTCCACGTTTCCCCGGGTCCTGCTCCCCAGCACCAGCCAGCCCTGCGTGGGGCGGGACTTCCTTCGACATCTTGCACAGTGCCGGTCTGGTGGTGGGGAGTTATTGCAGTTTTTGTATGTTTGAAAAAGCCTTTGTTTTGTCTGTGGGGTTTTTTTACTTTTTATTTAAAAATAATTACAGATTCACAAGAAGTTACCAAAATATGCACATGGAGGTTCCACTTAACCTTCACATTTCCCCCAAAACAAAAAAAATGGGCACGGGTACAATTTACAGGCGTTACTCAGGTTTCACGAGTTTTACATGCATGAGTGTGTGCACATGTGTGTGTGGTTCTATTCAGTTTCCTCAGGAGTAGATGCCCGTCACCACCACCGGAATCGAGACAGAAATGCTCCATCACGCCGCTCTGGACACACTGCACCCCTCCGCCCCCACACGCGGCCGCCACAGCTACATTCTGTTATCTCATGAATGGATGGCGCAGCCGTGGCCAGACGGGCTTTATCTACACAGCGTGCTTCTCCTGAGAGTCACCAAGTTGTAGAGTGCACCATGGCTATTCCCGGTCATTGCTCAGCCATGCCCCATAGTGAGCAGGGACCTCAGTTTCTCTAACTCTTCACCCACGGAAGGGCATCTGGGGTCCCCCAGTCTCTTGCCTGCTATGAATAAAGCTGCGGTGAACACTGTGTACATAACTTTTCATTTTAGGTTTTGGTGGACATAAGTTTCCATTTTTCCAGAATAAAGGCCCCGACAGGTAACGGTGCCGGGCATTCTCACGTGCTTGTGCTTCCGGGTATCCTCTTTGGTGAAGGTCTCTTGCTGGTTTTTGCTCATTTTCCAGTGGAATTGTTTTGTCCTTTTTTCTGTCATGTTTCAAGAGTTCTGTGTATATTCTTGAAGTCCTCTGTCA